CAGCAGAAAGAACCAAAGCACAGCGCAACAATTCGTACGACATGTTAAGCCGTGAAAAAATTACAGAACAGGGTCTTCCTTGAGAGTAAGCTCTATGCAGCAGCATGGGCCACAGTCCCTAAACGTTTAGCCAAGCGAGTTCGTACACCGTTCTGCACGGTGCAACTCTACGCAGAGAGTTGCCCTCTTGAATAATTCAGCTTTGCGTCGTTTGCGGGAAGCTGGGAGAGGGGGAGCTCTTCTGGTCTCCTCGGGCGGGGCGTTCCACAAGGTGGGGGGCCGCAACGGAGAAGGCCCTGCTCCGATGAACGAAGCCTTTGTGGCAGGACGTAGGGGGGAGAGGACTTCGTATGTCTTCTGCCTACTGTTTAGCAGACACAGGAAAAGGGGACAGACACGCCCTCTTGGCTTAGAAGGATGAAGAGCAGGGCAGAAGTGGGCGATGGAAGACCTCTGGGGAATTTGTCCCTGTGTAACTGAAGAGCAAGGAGTTGTGGTGGCTCAAGTGGTTAAGACGCTGAACTGCAGGCTGTGGAAGGTCGGTAGCTCAGCAGTTCAAGACCCGAGTTGCCGCATGACGGAGTGAGCTCCCGTCTCTAGTTCCAGCTCCTGCCAACCTAGCAGTTTGAAAGCAAGAAATTTCTAGTAGATAAATAGGTAGTACTTCGGTGGGAAGGTAACAGCGTTCCGTGCGCCTTGGTGTTTAGTCATGCCAGCCACATGACCACGGAAACGTCTTTGGACAGCGCTGGCTCTTCGGCTTTGAAACGGAGATGAGCACCGCAACCCTGGAGTCGGACTCGACTGGCTTTCGAGCAAGGGAACCTTTGCCTTTACTAACTGAAGAGCACCTGGTTCTGGTAGCAATCCACAGCTCCGCAGAGCCGAGTCAAATGCCGGTGTGGAGTAGGCGGAGGCTCCGGGGCGCACAAGAGACGCGCCCTTGGCCAAAAGGGAGAGAGAGGAAAAAGCAGGCCCATGCACTTGCGAACCAGGAGGCATCTCTGGACAGGAGATGGCAGGCAAAGTGGGACAAATACCGGGTTCTGCCCCTGGGTCCGGCGGAAGAGACGCTTACCTGCTGTGCTTGGGTCTGGTTCTGGAGCGCCAGCTGAAGGAGAGCCGTGGAGAGGGCCGGGTTGGCGAGGAGAGGCACCGACGGATGAGCTCCCAGGATCCCTGTGGAGAGAAACCACGCCTGAGAAAAGCCTCTCTCCCACACCTCTCTGTACAAACAATGCACTCTATGGCAGTCTTTCCTGAGCCTGGTATATGTGTGTGTGTGTGTGTGTGTGTGTGGACCTGAAAATGGGTCCCGAAGCCTCTAAAAGTGGGTCACGGGCCACCCAAGGCTCCCTCTAAGCTGTGGAGTCTCGTGAGCAGAAATTCTACTTTGTGAGCTGCTGGCAGTAAAGTTGTGAGCGAGCGATTTGGCTGCTGCGTAGATGAGTGTGCTCTGGAGCCAGCCTTCCTGAGCCAAGGCAAAAGTGTGTGAGCCGGAGGCTAAAAAAACTGTGAACTAGCTCACGCTAAGTCAGCTTAGAGGGAACACTGGGGCCAACCCTCCCCAATGGCTGCCTCCACCCTTTTCATTGTTCTCCTTGGCATTTTGGAAACCAAGGCCTGGCTTGGATCACGAGAAGGGAGGGCAGGAAGGGTTGCCTCAGGGCTTAGTTCTCACGGCCCTTTCTTCCACGCCCAGGGAAATGCTGATCGCCACTGTGGGGTCAGGAAGCCATTTTTCTCCAGGCCAGTTTGACCGGAGATCCTGGAGGTTTCCCTCCCCCGTCTTTTAGACATGGAGCAAGGGTCACTGGCAGTGTTCCCTCTAAGCTGAGTCAGTGTGAGGTAGCTCACAGTTTTTTAGCCTCCGGCGCATGCATTTTTGTCTTCGCTCAAGAAAGACGGCTCCGGAAAAAACTAATTTATGCAGTAGTCAGATCGCTCGCTCACAACTTTAATGCCAGTCGCTCACAAAGTGGAATTTTTGCTCACAGGACTCCACAGCTTACAGGGAGCATTGGTGGTGACCAGTGTTCCCTCTAAGCTGAGTCAGTGTGAGCTAGCTCACAGTTTTTTAGCCTCCGGCTTACACATTTTTGCCTTTGCTCAGGAAGCGATGGCTCCAGAGCAAACTAATTTGTGCAGTAGCCAAATCGCTCGCTCACAACTTTAATGCCAGTGGCTCACAAAGTAGAGTTTTTGCTCACAAGACTCCATAGCTCAGAGGGAGCATCAGTCACTGGGTGTGTGTGTGGAGGGGAGGTATCTGTGAATTCCCTGCATTGTGCAGGGGGTTGGGCAAGAATGAAACTGGAAGTCCCTTCCAGCTCTATGCTTCTATGACTCTGGAAACCAGAAGCTTCTGCGTCATACATTACTTGGCATTTCTTTCTTCACTGCATGCACATTTTGATCAAGTAGAACCTGATGGGGTCATTAGAGCGAGCGTCTTGGGATCTCAGGGGGGGGAATGAGAGGGAGCCGTGCGGAAGGGGAGGGGTGGTCAAAGGCTCGGCATGCGACCTCCGTATGCAAAGGCTCCTGGGATGCGAATCGAAAGTCTTTGCTGGGCGAGGGCCCTGCGTAGCCCCGCCCACTTCTGGGAAACACCTGCCAGGCGCCAGGGAAGAGTACCGTGGGTGCCAAGGATTTGACTAAAATCAAACTGATTTAAATTGTGATTTAAATCACTAGTCAGCAAGACTCGGTTTAAAACGCGGTTGTCGACATGAAGGCTCTGTTATGTATTGAGCCTGAACTGTACCTTGTGAAAGGACTTAGCTTGGGGATGCGTAACAATAGCTTGCTAGGAACCTAGAATGGACCAGTAGGATGACAGGGATCCTAGAGTAACCCAACTGGGAAACAATGTAGTGTAAATAGCCTATAGCGGGGAGTGGGGTGTGTTTTGGGTGTGACCAGGGGTCCTCATTAGCATAACTCAATGGCATAACTTATTTGCATAAGCCACACCCCCTGACATCACCGGAAGTGTGTCAGAAGGCAACACTCACCGCTCAGGCTCCACTGGACTGTTTTGGATTGCTAGCTATTGGGGGGGAGGAACGTGCAGATCTGCCCTCGCAGAGGAGGGAGAGCTTGTACCTGAATAAACCTTGGTCTTAAAGGTGCCACTGGACTGTTTTGGATTGCTAGCCTCCTTACTGCCGGAGCTCCGCTCCTGTGCGCTCCCGCAGGAAATGACCCCTGGGTATAACCTTTTTCAGACATAAACACCCAGCTTCGGCCAGGGGTCTCTCAGTCTTCTTTCTCTCGCTGAATCACTACTAAACTATGAGCTGATCACTTGAACACGTCTGAACCCAGTATATTTCAGGCTCATTCTCGCTGGCCTTAATATTTGCAACCCAGATGAAGGTTCCATTTTCGTACAATAACCTTTCAGGTTAGTTTTAGTTAGATCACAAAATTAATGGTTGCGATAATCCCCTACTATTTGGATACCCATGTAAATCCTTGTGTATGTATGAAATTACATGGTCGTACATGGTTGTATTTTTTGAAATGAACTGAAGAATACAATAGAAAAAGTATAGAGACATATAACCTTTCATAGATGATAAAAACTGGTATTTTAAAGTTTGCAAAAGATTTTTCTAAGAACATAAGGTGGAACATGGAGGACAAATATGGTATGAAGCATTCAAGCATGTAAACTGATGACGTAATTCAACCCCCCACATTTATGTATTTGTGAGTTATGGACTTGTGTGTTTGGCCGTTGTGATGTTTGTCTCTATTTTTAAAAAAAAAATAATGGTTGCTTATTTACCGCTTGAAATAGATAATTATGAAATCCTTGCAAGGTGAACTGTCTCCAATTAAATAGGTTGTTAATGATTCATATTTGTACTTTCATTTGTACTGCCTGCCCCTTCCTCCTCACACTTAGCTGTTAATCTCTCCTCCTTATCCAGACCTGTTCCACCCCAAACAATCTCATATTCATTGACTCATAGAGTGTTAGAGCTGGAAGGGACCTTGCAGGTCATCTAGTCCAACCCCCAGCACTCTGCAGGAGCACAGCTGAAAGATAGCTCTACATACCTACAACATACCCGAAAGATGGCCGTCCAGCCTCCGCTTGAAAACGTCCAGCGAAGGAGCATCCACCGCCTCCCAAGGCAGTCTGTTCCCCTGCTCAACCACTCCTACAGTTAGGAAGTCTCTCCTGATATTTAGCCAGTATCGACTCCCTTGTAATTCCCACCCGTTAGATCTAGTCTTGCAATCCGGAGCAAGAGAGAAGAGATCCGCTCCATCTTCTACATGACAGCCCTTCAGATACTTGAAGACTGCAATCATGTCCCCTCTAAGCCTTCTCTTTCCAAGGCTAAACAGACCCAACTCCTTCAGCCTTTCCTCGTAAGACTTGGATTCCAACCCTCTTGCCATCCTGGTTGCCCTCTTCCGGACCCGCTGAACTTCTTGAAACTTAGCACTTATATTTATTTATTTATTTATTATGAGATTTCTATCCCGCCCTACCCAGTGGCTCAGGGCGGCTAACAGCATATAAATACTAAAACAATAAAATAAGTTTTAAATACAATAAAAACTGGTGCTTAAGAGATAAGGGGTTGATTCTGTGTCCATACATGTGCAGGGGACCAATAGGACTGAGGTCTCTTTAACTCTGTATGTTTTTTCTAACATTTTTGCTGTGAAGAGGAGGCACGTGATCTCTGCAGACACAAATTCACAGTTCTGAGAACTGTCAAACCAAGTATCTCTGACAATATCCTCTAGACAGAAAGACTGCCCAATAATCTTACAGAAACCTCTGGAAGAGCACGACACTGTGAATGGATTAATGGAATTCGTTCACTGAAAAATCTAAACCCTGCATAAATATTTAGCCTCATGCTACGTGATTAAAAACTAATCCTTATTTCATGATGAATAACCCTTTGGACTGTAATGTATCTTAAACGGAAAACTATCTTTAAATAGAGTTCTCCTCAAAAAGCGTTTTGTTTTTATTTTAAAAAATCCAATTTAATTTTTGAAAACTCGATTTAAATAAAAATAAGTTGATTTTTTTTATTTAAAAAAAAAGAAATCACAGATTTCTATCCACCCTGCATGGTGCCTGAGTGCGCCACCTTGGAGACCCCTGCCATAACAGGTTCCCTTCGTTCCTACCTACCTTGTTTTCCTCCCATGGCTCCGTGAAGAAGGGGGCTGAGCAGGAGCTGGATGGAGGTCGAGTTCCCCAGGCTGCTCAAAATCTGAAACAGGTTCGGCTCGGGGAGGAGCCCTTTCCCCCGATTTAGGGCCTTGAAGAAAGCAAGAGCAGTGAAGCAGTGAAAGGGCAGCTGTCCTTGTACTACTCTTGGCGGCGGGACGTTCTTATCAAAGTCACGCAGGAAGGAGGCGCGCATGGGGGCAGGGTCAAAACTTTGAACCTGCGCCACACAGAATCATAGAATGTTAGAGTTGGAAGGGACCTTGCAGTCCAACCCCCTGCACTCTGCAGGAGCATAGCCGAAAGATAGCCCTACACAGGGGTCATTTCCTGCAGGAGCACACAGGAGTGGAGCTTTGGCAGTAAAGAGCCCAGGGGCTGGGCACATGCAACAAGCCCCACCCCCTGCTCCCCGCAGCCCTCAGTCAGAGCAAGAAGCAGCCAGGTAAGCTGCAGAGCCCGCCCCCCGGTCCGAAACTGTCCAGTGGCACCTTTAAGACCAAGGTTTATTCAGGTACAAGCTCTCCCTCCTCTGCGAGGACACATCTCCCCTTTCCTCCCCCCCCCCCCAATAGCTAGCAATCCAAAACAGTCCAGTGGAGCCTGAATGGTGGGTGTTGCCTTCTGACACACTTCCAGTGATGTCAGGGGGTGTGGCATATGCAAATAAGTTATGCTAATGAGCTATGCTAATGAGCTCCTGCACCTCTTTTTCTACGAAATGACCCCTGGCCCTATATACCTACAACATACCCGAAAGATGGTCGTTCGCCCTCCCTTTGGAAAGGTCCAGCGAAGGAGCACCCACCACCTCCCGAGGCAGATTGTTCCACTGCTCAACCACTCTTACAGTCAGGAAGTTTCTCCTGATCGGGGCACAGCAGACGGACACAGCAACCCCGTCTGCCATCCCTTAACACCGGGGTGGGCCAACAGCCCCTGCCAAACGTGGCACGTGGCTACACGGCAGGGGCGGAAAGCCACAAGAGGACGTTACACTAAGAAGTACACAGAAGCAGAGCCAAATAAAGGGGCACGGTGCCGGTCCTCTGTGTCACAATACTCGATTTTGTGGCCAAAAACTCTTTTTGGGAAGTGTAATGATTCCATTTTTGGTGTGTGTCTTTCTTTACATGTTTCGTGTGACTGCAGTAATGTAAGGAGAGTGATAGAGGGAGACAAGTGTGATGTGATTGGCTGATGACTGAGAGTGTGGGAGGAGAGAGGTCTCTGAGGTGATTCTGTGTTCTTGAAGAGACGAGTGTGGAGAGTTTTCTGTGTGAGTCGGTATGACAGAGGAAGCACTTGGGGCTTAGTTTAGCCTGTGTGGCTATGAGAGAGAAAGTTCGGCCTGTGTGGCTATATGAGCAAGAGTTCAGCCTGCGTGGCTATATGAGCCGAGAGAGATCAGCTTGTCAGAGTTGAGTTTTGGTGTATGAGAGACAGACTGTGCGTGACGCCAAGCCTTGTCAGCTATTTTCTTTCTTCAACAACAGTTCAAAAATACCCAGAAACCTATTTTGTTCTTTTATAAAGAGATCATTATTTGTTTAAACTTATCCCAGCATTCATAACAGTCCTTCCTCAGGGCCACACAGTCCCCTGAAGCGCCCAGACACTGGGCCATTCTACCAAAATAGAGAGATTTGGAATTTTTAATTCCTGGTGGCAGCAGAAATCTACTAAGGTCATGTACACAGATACACAGAGTGAGTTTTAAAGGAGAAATAGTCTCCCCAATAAGCAAGGACGTCACAGGACGGTTCAGAGCAGGCAAGGGGGACAAGCGAACAAGAAAAGCAGGGGCTGAGCTGGCGGGGCGTCACCACTAGCAGGGCTCTTACCGTTGCCTGGGCGGCTATCAGGGCGGCCAGCATGCTTCGCCCGGGGGGGCCTGGAGCGCAAAAGGAGACTCTGATGTGGTTTCCGGCCAGGAGCATGCCGTTGGTAGCCTGCTGCACCATCTCCGCTATCTCCGCCGATTCATATTCCAGGACGGCAAAGCCCTTCAGCTGCCCGTCCTGACCGCAAGCCAGCTAGGGGGAAAGGAAGACGCTGAGCACGCGAGGAAGAACAAGGCAATCGCCCTTCAGTGGCCAAAATCCCGGCCGGTTGGCAGGCCCAAGGGAGCAGACCGGCAACCTCTGGCCAGATTTCGTAGTGGACCTTGGATACAATCCCATGCGCAACCTAGTAGGTCTTACCGACCATAGTGGGATGTCTCGCTCTCTCCTGACTCTCCGCAAACTATCCCAAACGGAATAATGCAAGAGGGCTTTTTGCCCAGGTAAACAGGACTGTATCATACCAGCGCAACCTATGCGCTGTAAGCTTAGGCCTCTGCGAGATCCTGCCTGTCGTGAAGGTGGGGAGGGGGAAACCTTTGGAATGTCTACTTTCGATTCTGCTGCGCCCTTGCGGAGTCTTATTTATGTAACCACTGTTGTCTGGCCTTGATACGCCTGGTGTAACCTTTCTCCTGGGAACTGCAACCCGTTACTTTGGGGGGCTCCCACCTGAAGCCTGATTGGCTGATTGCCAGCAGGGGACCCCCCCTGAATAGTGTATATTTATTTGCTCTGCGTGCTTCTTCCCCAGTTCTAACACGAAACAGTTAAGAAACTCTGCATACTCTCGATGTCTCAATAAACTTTACTTCTGTGAAAGAAAGCTATTGGGAACTGATTGCTGCAGGAGTCGGACATGCTCAACCTAGCAGGTCTTACGGCTTTCCGCAAACTATCCCAAACGGAATTATGCAAGAGGGCTTTTTGCCCAGGTAAACAGGACTGTATCATACCGGCTGCATATGAGGAAAAACTTTTTGAAAGTCAGAGCTGTGCAACAGTGGGAATATGCTGCCTCTGGAGGTGGTGAGCTCCCCCTTCCCTGGCAGTCTTTAAGCAGCGTCTAGAGAAACACATCAGGGATGCTCTAGGCTGATCCTGCATCCAGTCAGGGGGTACAACTAGATGGCCTCTAGGGGGACCCCTTCCAACTCTGTGATTCTACGATTCTATGATCCAGACTATGTCGTTTCTACATTTATTTAGACGGTTCCAGAGCAGACTGACTTATGCAGTAGCCAGATTGCTCGCTCACAACTTTAATGCCAGTAGCTCACAAAGTAGGATTTTTGCTCACAAGACTCCACGGCTTAGAGGGAGCCATTCCTTGGGATGTACTATTTTTGCAGGCATAATCTGGATGGCATGCAGCGACAGAAGCTGGCTTGCAATTCAAGAAGGGACGGTGGCCTGGCCCTCTGGCTACTTTAACGAGGAGGAGGAGGAGGAGGAGGAGGAGATTGGATTTATACCCCGCCCTTCATTCAGAGCGGCCTACACACTCCTTTCCCTTCCCCTCCCCACAACAGACACCCTGCGAGGTAGGCGGGGCTGAGGCAGCTCTTTCGAGGACTGTCCTTGAGAGAACAGCTCTGAGAGAACTACGGCTTGCCCAAGGTCATCCAGCAGCTGCGAGTGGAGGAGTGGGGAATCAGACCCGGTTCCCCCAGATCAGAGTCCACGCATTTAACCACTCAGTCCTCTCTGGCCGCACCAAGGGCATGAAGGAGGCTCACCTGACAGAATGCCGGGGGGCAGACGGTCGAGAAGGCCCGCCTCAGCTCGTCGACGTCGCCGTAGCTGTGGGGCAGCTTGTCCACGCACAGGCACTTGGAGTGGAGGAGCTCCGAGGTCAGCTGGCTGACGTCCGTCCAGTGGACGTAGAGCGTCCGCGTCCCCAGCTGTCTGCCCAGCAGGTCGGACTTGGCCCGGGCGGCCGAATCCTTCTTCATGTACTCCACGAAGCCGTACCCCTTGGAGTGCCCCGTGCTCTCGCTGTAGACCAGGAAGCAGCGCTCCAGGTTCCCGAAGGGCCGCACCAGGTCCTCGAACTGCTGCTGCGTGTAGAGCTGGGGGAGGTTGGCGATGCAGAGGAGGGCGTCCGTCGGCTGCAGCTGCACCGTGATCTCCTTGTCTCGCAGCCGGCTCAGGTGGAACTCCTGGATGGCCGACTCCGCCTGCTCCCCGTTCAGCAAGGTGACGAAGGCTGCGAGAGAGAGGGGAGTGCGCGGGGGGCAAGGATCATTAACTGTTGCTTCCATGTAAGGGCGGATTCGACGGCACTAGCTGAGCGTTTAAACTTGGTTCCAGCTGTCGTAATGATGTGCCTGGTTTCAATGGATTTTAAGATGTGCTTTTATGTGTGTCAAGACGGAGGAGGAAGGAGGAAGGAGGAAGGAGGAAGGAGGAAGGAGGAAGGTAGTGTAGCAAACCTCCGCTGAGCTTCTGCAAGCTTTTCTATATAAAACAAAAGAAAGATTATCTTATTACAATGCTACAAATGAACATGCAACAAATTTTTTGTTTGTGAGATTTTGACAATATTGTATGAACACAAGTATACTACAGAAGAAGAAGAAGAAAGAAGAAAAAGAAGTTTTTATACCCTGCTCTTCCATACCCAAAGGAGTCTCAGAGCGGCTTACAAACTCCTTTCCCTTCCCCTCCCCACAACAGACACCCTGCGAGGTCAGTGGGGCTGAGAGAGCTCTTTCCAGAACTGCCCTTTCAAGGACAGCTCTGACAGAACTATGGCTTGCCAAAGGTCATCCAGCAGCTGCAAGTGGAGGAGTGGGGAATCAAACCCAGTTCTCCCAGATGATGAAGAAAAAGAGATTGGATTTATACGCCACCCTTCACTACCCAAAGGAGTCTGAGCATCTTAGAAACTCTTTTCCCTTCCCCTCCCCACGACAGACACCTTGTGAGGTAGGTGGGGCTAAGAGAGCTCTGACAGAAACTGCTCTTTTTTCAAGGACAGCTCTGAGAGAACTTGTGACTGACCCAAGGTCACCCAGCAGGTGCAAGTGGAGGAGTGGGGAATCAAACCCGGTTCTCCCAGATTAGAGTCCGCTCACCTGACCACTCCACCAAAGTCCACAGTGCACAACTAAAGACCACTCCCCCCCCACACACATACACTCAGAGAGGAAAGACTGAACTGACAAACAAGCATGCTGGTGGTGGCGAGCCCATAGGGTTTTCACGGCCAGAGACATCCAGGGGTGGCTTGCCCTTGCCTGCCTCTGCGTAGCCACCCCGGACTTCCTTGGCAGTCTCCCATCCAAGTACTAGCCAGGATCGACCCTGCTCAGCTTCCGGGACCTGATGGGATCGGGCCACCCTGGGCCATCCAGGGCGGATGGAGCAGGAGGTGGACAGAGGCGGTTTGCCACTTCCCGCCCCTGTGTTGCTACCCTGGGCTTCCTTGGTGGCCTCGAGGGCAGTGTTCCCTCTAAGCCGAGTCAGTGTGAGGTAGCTCAGTTTTTTAGCCTCTGGCTGACAGATTTTTGCCTTCGCTCAGGAAGGAGGGCTCCAGAGCAAACTAATTTATGTAGTAGCCAAATGGCTCGCCCACAACTTTAAGGCCAGGAGCTCACAAAGTGGAATTTTTGCTCTCGAGACTCCACAGCTTAGAGGGAGCACTGCTCTAGGGATGGGCAAAAACTGGCTCACAAACTTTTTTCCCGCTGTAGAGAACAATAGAGGGGATAGGGGCAACCTGTTTGGGGGCCCGCAGAATTGGACCCCCTGGTCCAACGTTCTTCAAACTTGGTTGGTGTCTTGGGGAGGGGCTCCAGCAGCTACCCTGCGAGTATGGAGCCTCTCCTTCAAACCCCCTCCTCTCCAGCCCCCAGAATATACCCTATGTTTTCGCCATTTACTTCAATGGCCCATAGGATATAATGCAGCTGAATTGCTGCCGAAATTCGGCGGCAAGCCGATTCAGATCAGAGAATCTGAATCGGCCTGCAGCAGCCCGAAAGGGGTCTGAATGTGCCATTTTCGGGGATGCTCTAGGCACATCCCTAGTTGTAGTGACCCTGGACTTCCTTGCTGGTCTCCCATCCAAGTACTGATCGGGGCTCACCTTGCACAGCTTTCAAGGTCTGACGTCCTATAGCAACCCCATTGGGTTTTCAAGGCAAGAGAGGTTCAGAGGTGGTTTGCCCTCACCTGCCTCTACATAGCAACCCTGGGCTTCCTTGGTGGTCTCCCATCGAAGTACTAAGTACTAACCAGGGCCGACCCTGCTTAGCTTCCAAGATCTGATGGGATCAGGCTAGCCTGGGCTATCCAGGTCAAGGCAAGAGACAAAGAGAGGTGGGTTTGCCGTTGCCTGCCTCTGCGTAGCAACCCTGGGCTTCCTGGGTCGTCTCCCATCGAAGTACTAACCCGGGCCGACCCTGCTTAGCTTCCAAAATCTGACAAGGTCTGGCTGGCCTGGGCCATTCAGGTTAGAGTGACAAGAAAGCCCCAAGTGGAAAATAATGAAAAAGAATCTCCATTGTGTACGGTACCCACTCGACACTGAAAGGTCTTTTACTCACATGACCGGGGAAGCTGAGATTCGGCAGATCTCAGGAGGCTGTTATCTTGCACCTGTGAAACTGAGCATGGCCTGCACACCACACAGTAGCCCGAAAAACTGGTGTGTGTTTTACTCACCGGTTCCCTTGTACTTGTCCACAAAACAGTACTTGAGTTCGTAGTCGCTCAGCAAATCATGAACTTCCTGTGGAAAATCAAAAGGGGGGGCGGGAAGTTAGTTGAACTTGAATGACCAGCTTTAACAGCAAACAACACGCCCGCCCCCCCCACACACAGCTCCTGCCCCAGATAAGATGCCAACAGCTGTTAAGGCAAAGGAGGATGCATTCTCTTAAGAACATCAGAAGAGCACCGCTGGGTCAGACCAGGGAGGGTCCCTTCTAATCCAGCCTCCCGTCTCACACAGGGGCCAGCCAGTCCCTCTGGAGGGCCAGCAACAGGGCAGAGAGGCCGAGGCCTTCCCCTGAGAAGGACACCAGAAGAGCCCTGCTGGGCCAGACCAGGGAGGGTCCCTCCAGTCCAGCCTCCCGTCTCACACAGGGGCCAGCCAGTCCCTCTGGAGGGCCAGCAACAGGGCAGAGAGGCCGAGGCCTTCCCCTGAGAAGGACACCAGAAGAGCCCTGCTGGGTCAGACCAGGGAGGGTTCCTCTAGTCCAGCCTCCTGTCTCACACAGGGCCCAACAACAGAGCATAGAGGCCGAGGCCTTCCCCTGATGTTGCCTCCTGGCTTTGGGATTCAGAGGTTGACTGCGTCTGAATCTGGAGGTTCCGCTCAGTCTCCGTGGCTAGTAACCACTGTTAGGCTTACCCTCCATGAATCTATCCAATCCCCTTTGAAAGCTGTTTATTCCTTTGACCACATTACCTCCTCTGGCAGCAAATTCCACATTGAAATCGCTCTCTGTGGAAAGTCGTATTATCTTTTGTCCGTCCTGAATGATGGCCCATCGGCTTTGCTGGATGCCCCTCGAGTTCTTGTAGTTTGGAAGAGGGATAAAAGGTTCTCTTTGTCAACTTTCTCCACTCCAGGCATCACTTTATACATCTCTCTCATGTGCCCCCAATCAGTGGTCTCTTTCCTCAACTGAGAAGTCCCAGAGACTCTTCTGCCTTTCCTCACGGGGGAGGGGCTCCGACCCCCTCGCCGTCTTGGACGCCCTCCTCTGCTCGTCTTCCAGCTTCGCAGTGTCCGTTTTGAGGTACGGGGACCAGGACTGCACAGCAGGTTCCAAACAAGGCCCCACCACAGATCTATATCTTGGGTCCTATCAAACCCTACCGCTGATCCCTGTGGGATCTGATTCAGTTCTGCAGGGCCCGTAAAATGCAGTTGTTTCGCCATGCCTACCCGGCTGAAGGCAGCAACGGTTCTTCCACCTGAGACTGGCCTCCCCTCTTCTCGCATATTAGGCGAACTTTGGGATATTCCTCCCCCCCCCCCCGGGTATTCTTACATCATTCTTACGTCATCTATTAGCTGCGTAGATTGTTTTTGTTCTATTGTATTTATTGCATTATCTATATATCTAATAAAGGTAAAAGTTTCCGTTGCTCGAAAGCCAGTCGAGTCTGACTCTAGGGTTGCGGTGCTCATCTCCGTTTCAAAGCCAAAGAGCCAGCGCTCTCCGAAGACGTTTCCGTGGTCATGTGGCCGGCATGACTAAACCCCAAGGCGCACGGAACGCTGTGACCTTCCCACCGAAGTGGTACCTATTTATCTACTTGCAATTTCCTGCTTTCAAACTGCTGGGTTGGCAGGAGCTGGAACTAGAGACGGGAGCTCACTCTGTCATGCGGCACACTCGGGTCTCGAACTGCTGAACTACCGACCTTCCACAGCCTGCAGTTCAGCATCTTAACCACTTGAGCCACCGCAGCAATATATCTAATAGCAAATATCTAAGCCCGCACATCGGGGGCACCTGGGGGGCAGGGAGATTTTCCTGCACATCTGGGGCGATCCCCAGATGTGCAGAAAAATGTAAAAACTGTAAAAAAACTATAGGGGGGATACTGAAATTTCAAAAAAAAGCATGCGCAGGGAACGCTCTTGGAACGGCAACGGTGGGAGGGGAGGGGGAGGGGAGTAGGCTTGGCCGACCGGCAAGGCCTCG